GGCTCTCCCAAGGAGAAGGGCAAAGAGCCCCGGAGGGCAGGGACCGAATACCCCAGTACCAAGGACCTGAGGTCCCTGATCTGCACTTAATACTGTGGTGGAGGAGGAACTGAGGTCCAGTCCGGCGCTGCCAGGGGTTGCTCGGGAGAGATCAGAGATTGAGACACGGCCAGCCGAGCGGCCCCAGGGCCGGCCTGTGAGGGGCTGAAAGGGGCCTGGGGCTGGCCCCGGAGGAAGTTTCCCTGGGCGACAAGGGGAGGCCCTCAGCGGAAGTTTTAGAGCGGCACTGAGAGGCCCAGTGACGACCCTTCTTACATCGGGGACAGAGGCCAGGGTGACCAACATGGCCTTGCTTGGCGTTTGGGCAATTTCTAGCAAAATGACCAGGAGTGCCGCAATTAAAACATTTAGGAGAGGCGTTGGGGGGGGGCAGCAGCAACAGCCCCAGCAAAGGCATCCTGTAACGCGGCACCTATAGCGGTGCCAATTTGGCGACTGGAGCCAATATCCTGACAGAGACGGATATAATCAGAAAGAGACCCCTGACGTTTTTGCGGGCGAATGGCGGCCTGACAGGCAGAATTGGCATTTTCAAAAGCAAGCTGCTTGACAAAATCACTGTCGCCCTCAGATGGCCCCAACAGTCTTTCCGCGGCCTCAGTTAGACGACTAACAAAATCAGCATAAGGCTCCTCAGGCTTCTGGCGGATGGAGGCGATAGAGGTCGTGGCGGGTCCTTTAGGAGGTAACAGCCACCATGCCTTTCGTGCAGCAGCCTGAATTTGAGCAAAAATTCCGGAAGCAAACTTAGATTGGGTCTCATTAGTATTAAAAGGAGGAAGGCCAACAAGCATTTCATAAGTCCATTCCGCACTTTCCCCTCCGGCCTCACTATTACGGCGGGCCGCTTCCTTACATAATTCTTTAAATTCAGATTTCCAAAGCACAAAACTTCCTCCACTCAGGGTGGCACGGGCAAGGTGAAGCCAATCATGAGAAGTGAGCCATAAATGATCAAGGGCATCAAGGATGGAGAAGGTGAATGGGGCAACAGGGCCATACTGAGAGACTGCCTCTTTTAGTGTTTTTAGCGTCTTATACCCGAGGCGTCTATATTGCCGGGGGGGCAGCCTCCTCTCCCTCCTCCTCAGTATCACTTGACGCAGTTTTATCCTCAATAACGGGAAAAAGAAAAGGGGGGGAGGAAGAGAAAAGACTCCTTTTCTTAGGGAGTAAAGACCCTGCATCTTTAGGGGAAGGGAGGGGGGCCAAAACAGGGGATTCGGATTTGGGTTTGGAGGTTACTGTAGGGGCAGTGAGAGCAACAGCAGGGCCAGGAATGCAATCAGCGAGTTCCAAATCAAGGAGCCGTAGTTCCTTAAGCAGCTGTGCTTTCTCTTTCTTAAACATCAACGTCTGTCTGTTGGAGGGACTGAATCTGAGAGGAGAGCGAGGTCAAGGGAGTATCAACAGGCGGAAAAGGGGGAAGAGTATGATAAGAAGGGGGAGCAGAAGGGGGCAGAGAAGCAGCAAGATGAGGGGTTGGGAGTGGAGAAGCAGGAGCAGCGGGCGCGGAAGCAGAGTGCTGTATAGTAGGAAAACATGCAGGAGCGGTACTGAAATTATAGGGGTCATTATAAGAAGCAGCCTCCTGCTCAAGGTCAACTGCATCAGTAGGATCTAAGGTATCATTTGACCTCTTGACCAAAGCCTCTTGTAAAACAGGATAAATGCGCTCAACTTTCCTACTTTGGGAGGAAAAATCATCTAAGGGCATGTCGATGGACACAGAATCACAATCCTTCCTAGACTCATCCTCTGTTGCGGGTGGGGCTGGTAATGGACAAGGAGGCTCCGGGGGCCTCCGTCTTTCTCACTGACAATCTTACAAACCTCAGTCTCAAAAGGACGTATTTTCAAAATATCATAAATACAATTCCAGTAATTGAACGCAGTAACAGGGACCTTCTCGGGCCCGAAAGTTCTAAAATAATCATTAAGACAATCTCCCACCCGTTTCCATCTTTTCTCATCTATAGTTCCTTCCTGGGGGAAACAAGGACAAACGTCCTTTAAAAAAACAAAAAATTGTATAAGATCCTTTTTCTTAACCTTTACTCCCCGTGTCTTTAATGAGGCCTTAAGCCCTTCTACAAATTTTTCATGACTACTAGCATCCTGCCCCATTTTGAGAGTGTCTCCTTACCTCAGGTCTCTATTCCGCAGATCAGGCAAATCCGCGGCGACCAATTGTCATGTATCGTGACTGCAGTCGTCTTTTTCACAGGAGCACACACCAAAAAACCTTTACTCCTTTTAAGGGGGTCTCGGGCCCCACCTTGCGCGCCAAATGTCCCGTCCCACGGGACATCAACGGAGGTCCGGACCTGTAAAAGAAGGAGGGGAGTAGGGGACACAGGAAATGGAGACAAGGCAGGCTTTCTGATCAAGTCTCTTTTATTGAAGGCAAGCTCAGGGTAGTTATACACACAGTAAGAGGGAGTGGGGGAGTTCCACCAATGGTATAGGGGCGGGGTATTCCAGGAAGAGGTACAGCTTTGACCATAATCTGTTCTTATCACAAGGACCACCAAGGTATAGGGGCGGGGTATTCCAGGAAGAGATACAGCTTTGTCCGAAATTTGTTCTTATCACAAGGACAGCTGCAACGCTAGTAATTTTCCAGAGGTCATACTGGGCCTGTGGTCCCTTACATATATCAATGTTCTTTTTGTCTTTCTCTGTAAATTATTTCCTACTTATCCTGTATGTACCTCACTTTGCATATATTTGTTTCCTTGTTGTCTCCCCATTAGATTGTAAACTCCTTGGGGGCAGGGGCTGTCTTTTGCCTCTTTTTTGTAACCCTAGTGCTTAGCATAATGCTTGGTACATAGCAGGTGCTTAATGAATGTTTATTGATTGATGATTATTTGCCAATTAAGTAGAGAACTAGAATTTTCTAGCTTGGAAGTTTCCAAGCACAAAAGATTACAAATACAAGGGACTCCAGAAAAGGGCCAGGGCACCTGGGGGGAAGGGGTGTAAAGTAGGAGGAGTAAGGTTTGGCTAGAGCAGAGATTGCCTCTCTGATTAAAAAAAAAAAAAAGACTAGAAAACCTGAGTTTTTATAGATTACAATAAGAAACATGAGGCTAAAGATTGTAGGATGAAAAATGGAACTCATTGCAATGTTGGGATGGACAGAAATATATTGGTTGTTTAAGAGCTACTGTGAATCTTAAAAGACTGTCCTGTACTAATAGATTTAAAGCGAAGGAAAAAAATGTTAATAATGCAGATTAAATTTAAAAGTGTGCTGCGGGTATTCCCCCCCACCCCCACCCACCCAGAGAACCTGTTGTTAAGCAAATTTACCAGCATGCCTCTGCCTATAGGCAATATTGCAATTTGGGTGTTTAAACTGGAGCCAGGACCTTTTTGCCCATTACTGTAGAGATTTTTTGATGAGCTATAAGGATTGGAGTACTCTGACCTTTTATAGGATTCTAGGATTTAATGGTGGAAAGTCTTTTAGGGAGCACCCAGTTCAATAGTTTCATTCTAAAGATGAGGCTGCTAAGTCTCATGTAAAAAGACATTGTAGTATTGTAAAAAAAGAATTGGATTTAGCTTCAGAAGATCTTAGTTTGATTCTTGATTCTGCAGCTGTGGGACTTTGAGCCTAAACACTTAAACTCTTTGGGCCTCAGTTTCCTAATCTATAAAACGATGGGGCTGAGCTAAAGTGAGCTCTAACGTGCCTTCCAGCTCCAAATCTACTGTCCTGTGACTTTCCCACTCACACAGGTAGCCAGCTGCATATTGGTAATTTGAACACATATACTCTGAATCCAATGAATGCTCTACTTCTCCATTCTCTAGACTTAATATTTCCTAACTTATTCATTTGCTTCTCTCACCTCCCTACCAGGGAGTAAGTTCCCTGAGGACAGGACCTGTATTTTGTTCAGTCCATATTTTCCTAACTTCTTTGTAAATATTTGTCGAATTCAAATATTTCCCGGTGGTGTTACTAATTCTTTATATGTACAGGTCTCATGTTCCCTGAGAGACTCTAAACAGGTCAAAGGCTTTATCTTCTACTTCTTTTAAAAGATTTTATCTTATATTTACTGTGTGCCAGGAACATATTAAGCAATTAATATGTGCTTTTTGTTCCTCGATGACTTGACCTTTATCCTTAGCTGTCTGTGCTTATAAGAAACTATGCTCACAGCAGGCATCCAGTAATTATTTGTGGAATTAATGGACCACCACCATTTGCACAATCAAGCTAGACCACTCGCAAACTCAGAGTGCAAACAATTTAGCAATAAAAGGCGTCAGCGAGCAAGCCTCTAGAACCCAGCCCTTAATCTGCGTGAATTTTTACATCTTTATTTTCACTAACATCTAACTGAAATCCAGCATTTCCGTCAATTTTGAATGTTGGCAACAATATTATTCTCGGCAGGGGTTGTCCATAGACTTCATCAAGTTACCATATGACACACACAAAAAGTTAGCAATTTCTGTTCTAGCTAAAAAGTAAACACCCCACACAGCGATGGAACAGTTGCCTCAGTTCTCAAAATCCCAATGCGCATGCGCCGGGGGACCCACCCCCCCCCCACGCACGCGCAGTTTCCCGGGCTCGGCGGCGCCGGTCCTCGAAATGGGCCACCGGACCGTGATTCAGGCGTCGCGCGTGCGCACTCATGCAGAACCAGCGTCCTTCGCGGCCACCGTGATCCCGCACCACATGCGTGTTGTGGCTATTGCGCCTGTGCACGACCTCGGTCGTGTGCGGCCGTGGGGGCGGAGCGGCGCAAGCGCCCTGCGAGGTTTAGGACCTGGAGCGTAAACAAGAGACGGGAAGGGATGAGGCGACGACAGAAGTTGGAGCAACGAGCGGCGGCGGCGGCGATAGCGGCAGCAGGAGCGGCAGCCACAGCCAGAGCCACATTAGCTGGGGGACCCACAACGGAGGAGACGTCGGCGGCGGCGGAGAGCGGGGCCCGGAGCCGACCCTGACTCCCTCGTCTGTCCCGGCCCGGGAGTAGAGCGCCCGAGCCAAGGCCCCCCTCTCAGCCATGAACCTGGCCAGTCAGAGCGGGGAGGCTGGCTCCAGCCAGCTGCTCTTCGCCAACTTCAACCAGGACAACACGTAAGGAAGGACCCCCGAGAGTTGGCGGGGCGGGGCGGGGTGGGGGTGCCCCGCGGACTCCGCTCCCGAGGGCGCAGTTCCTCTCGCCTCGGGCATTAGGAGTGACCCTCCACCCAGACCCCACCCCCGCAGCCTCCCTGCAAGGATTGGGGTGAAGGCCAGGCCTTCTCTGGGAGGCTGGGAGAGAGGTGGGGTGGGTCAGGGCCAATCACTGGAGCAGCAGGGACTGTGGCTTCCTGGGGGTGGGAATCAATTCCCCTCTTTCTGGTGATTTCTTGGTCTTTTCTAGGTTAGGGATCGGGGGAAGGGGAGAGGGAAGTTCTTGTCCCACAGGTAGTGTGTGTGTGTGTAGTGTTTTAAAGTTTTTTTGTTTTGTTTTTTTTTTCTTAAAGCGAGGGCAGAAGGGGAGGTGTTTTTTGTTTTTTTTTTTCGGCCTCACTTTGAACCAAAGTTCACACTGGAAGTTTTTCCCTGGGGTTTGCCATCCTGGGATCAGTCAAAGAGTTGGAGCTGGAAAGAATAGAGAATACGAGAGAATACGTAGAGAATACGAGAGAATACGTAGAGAATACGAGTCCAAGTGTTTTTTTATTTTACAGATGAGAGAACTGCAGCTCAGAAAGGTTAACCTGCTTGCCCAGAGTCACATACCTAGTGTATCAGACATGGGTTTTGAACCTAGATCTTTCGGACTAAAAGTCAATAGGCCTGGGATTCTTTTCTCCACTTTTTCCACATACAGGTTGCCATCATTTCGAAGTCGCTAGGGATCTGTTTTTTCTTAGTGTTCTTGCAGTGTACATCACTGAAATCTGCCCATATGCAGGAACGAAATTAATAATAACCTTGGTATGTTAAATATTGGACTGGAAGTAAAACTGTAAGTGTATAATAAGTAATTTGGGCCATTATTTTGGTGTCCAGTGAGAATCTTGAGGCTTTTTGTTTAGAGAAGATGTCATAGGGAGCAATGGGACACAAGCCCTTAGAGTTGAAAAAAAAAAAGGGACATGTTATGAAATTCTTCAGATGATGGTACTGAGAATCTGAAGATAGTTAAGAGATGAAACTGCTGAAGAAAGGAGGATGACTTATGGGACTAGGAGGGAGGAGGGCCATCTTGAGAAGTGAGTAAGAGGAAATGATGTAAGGATGGTGGTAGTGGAGGAGTATGTCATTTGGCTCTGTCCAGAGTAATTCTTGGTCTTCGGATTGAGTTTGTGTACTGAATGTAATTGATATAGTAGCAAACTATATATTGCTCATTTCAATTGTTAATTGAGTCTAGATGTAAAATATTTGGCCAAGGTTACTCAACTTGTTATTGGCAAAATCAAAACTATTAGTCAATTAATCAACAAACATTTTATTAAGTACCTACCTACGCAGTGCTAAAACCAAGGTCCCCTGATTTATAATGTAGTGTTCTTTCTATTAATATTGTGGTTCCTCTGCTGTATTGAATAGTCTAAGAAGAGTGGATTTACAAACTGTAATGTCTGGAATTTTAATTATAGGCCAGGACTTGCTGCAACAAAGAAATTCTTTTAAGCAAAGAATTGAGACCTTTTCATGACCCAGTATTTTCAGCCAGTATTCTGTATAACAAATTTTCAGTACAGCAGAAAGTATTTGTGCAAAGTTTGTTACATGTTACTTCTGTTATTCAAAATAACAGCAAATTGTAATTTTCAAACCTAGTAAAATTAACATTTGAAGTCATTAATATTTGAGTGAGATGAGAAACTATTACATTCACAGGCCTTAGGTAATTTATAGAATTTTCCAAATTTTTATAATAAGTACTAAATTTTGGCTTTATGTATCTTACTATGTTGGGACTTGGTAATTGCATAGCATTCCTATTGCTTTTGGGCTGCCAAATTCTCATCTGCAAAATGGGAATAATACATGCAACACCTGTCTCACAGGGCAATTTTGAGAATAAAAAGGGAAAATGTCTTTGTTAATTAGAGAAATACTATCCTATTGGCCTGGTCCTATACCCTTCATAATCACATGCTATTTTTCCTTTCAGAATAATCCTGTAAACGGTATAGAAGAAGTGCCTGTGGTCCATGGACCTTCCTCTTCTCCCCCTGCCCCCCCCCCCCCAGGGTGTAGACTTCTAACTGAAATTTAGCATTTCCTTCAGTTATTTAAAAACATTTTTCTGAGACGGCATCACCAGACTGCCAGAGGGGTCTATGACACAAAAAAACTTAAGAATATCTGCTCCTTCAAAGGGACCTTTGAAAAAAGGTATTATAGGGAAGTATTCTGTGGCTCTTTTGCTCTTTATTTACTCTTAATCAGAAAGTGAAGAGTTTCATGTTATGGCCATAATTTTACTTCTTCATATTAGATTAAATAAGATTAAACAATATAAAGAGATAACCCGAAGTAGCTGAATATAGAAAGACCTTTCAAGTTTTTTTTTAATTACTTTTTATTAAAGGAACAAAAGAGCACTTTTAGAACAAGGAATGTTAATCTGTTCTAGAGGCCATTGCAACCCACCAAATTCACTAATTTTTTTCTTCATTTAAGGAAATGAAGTCCTATCCTCAAGTATGAATCATTTTTTGTCTTATTGTCACTTGTTCAAGGTTTTGCTAGAATTTTAGATAGTTAACCTTGTCTTGCCCTTTTCATCATTATTATTTTCAATTGATCACCTGAGTGGAAAAGCATTTATTAAGAGCAAGACAATCCCTATTTTGAAAGAGCTCACCAATCTAGTTGTGAGAGAGACTTCCATAAAGAGGGTACAGCTATGGGGCCTGTGGTAGGTAAGACCTGGGGGCAGGTGGCTTGGGGATTAAAGTGGGGTGGAGGTGGGAGTGTGTAGCAGAGAGGCTGATAAGGACCTGTGGCTAGGTGATCCTCCAGTTTACTGTGAGTTAGTAACACCCTGTTTATCAAAGTTCGATGTGTAGCTTTGTCTACTCCTAAGGAGCTTACATTCTAATGAGTGAAGATAGGAACATCTATCAGCATGTGCAGATGAAGATCTATACATATATACAGCATATACTTATGAAGATAATAAGTATAAATAAATGCCAAGTTAGTTTGGGAAGTACAGGCAATTGGGATCAGAAAATAATTCATAAAGAAGATGGTCCTTCTTGGAAGGAGATTCTGTGCTGCATAGGTGAAAAGGGATGCATTCTAAAGCAGAGATCTAGTGAGGAATAGATCATTTTGGTTGGGTCAGAATGCTGGCAGGGTAGTAATTGTGCAGTGAGGCTGAAAAGATAGATTGGGGCAAGGTTTGTGAAGGGCTTTAAAAGCTTAAACAGCCTCAGAAGAGTATGGGACAGAAAAGATCAGAAAAGAGCTTGAGGAAAATCACTTCAGTAGCTGTGTGTAGAATGAAACAAAGGGAAGAGCCTTGAGAGCTGGGGAGACCAGTTAGGAGGATGTTGGCAATAATATAGAGGTGATAAGGACCTGAATTAAGGTGATAGGAGTATAAGGCTCTGAGTAGATAGAAGAGATTTTGGTAACTTATTAGATTAGATATGTGAGGAATTGTATATGTGGAGTGACTTTGACAGAAAAAAGAAAGTTTAGAGGAAGGATAGGTTTGGGATGAGAGATAAATTTCATTTTGGCCATATTGCGTTTTGGGTACCTATAGGATATCTTGATTCCCCACCCCCTCATTTGTAATCAATTGCTTTTTATTTATTTTAACTTTTTTATTCTGAATTTTAAAAAACCACCAAATAAGTGTGTGTGTGTATGTAGAACAGAAAGAATTGCACTTGAAGATTCAAATCGACGTCATCACATAATTTTGCTTTTGTTTTAAATATATAATAAATTTAACATGTTTTTCAAAACAATCCTGCTTGTCTGCATTTCCTACTGACCACCCTTCCATTCTGCTTCAATGATCCTTTTTTTTTTTTCATTTTTTTTCATTTTTATTTTTTATTTCTAGGCAGTTGGGGTTGCTAGTAAGTGTCAAGTGTTTGGTCTGAGGCCTGATTTGAACTCAGGTGCTCCTGACTTCAGGGCTATTGCTCTATCCACTGCGCCACCTAGCTGCCCCTTGTTTCATTTTTTTTTTAACCCTGTTAGTAGCCTCCATCCACCCCCACCCTCCCACCTTTTCTTGAAAAAAAGGAAAACAAATCTCCTGTGTAAAATATAAATCTGGCCATGTCTGAAAATGTATGTCTCATTCTGCACCTGGAGTTCATCACCTCTGTCTCTGGAGGTAGGTGGCATATTTCATCATTGGCCCTCTGAAATCCTTGATCATTGCATTGATCAGAGTTCATAGTTATTCTTTCCGAAATTTTCTTTACAGTGTTGTCATAGAGATTGTTTTGTTCCCTTCACTCAGTATCAGTTCATGGAAGTCTTTTAGGGTGTAGATTTTTCTATTCATTCCCCACTTGATAGATACTCCCTCGGTTTCCAGTTCTTTGCCAGTACAAAAAAGAGCTGCTATAAATATTTTTGTACTTAAGGGCCCTGTTCTTTCTTTGGACTAGAAACCTAGTAGTAGCAGTATCACTGGATCAAACAGCATTTACAGTTTAGTAACTTTTTTGATATAATTCCAAATTTCTTCTAAAATGACTGGACCAGTTCACAGCTCCAAGTTATTCTTGTGCTTATATTCAGCTGTTCCAACAATTATTTATTCTTCCTCTCTCCTCCTTTTTTTTTTGTTTTGCCAACTGTGACAGTCTGATGTGAAGTGGAACTTTATAGTTGCTTAATTTGCATTTTCTGATAATGATTTACAACTTTTTAATTTTTTAATTTTTATTTTAATTTGATTTATTTATTTTTTGCTTAGGCAGTTGGGGTTAAGTGACTTGCCCAAGGTCACACAGTAAGTGTCAAGTATTTGGTCTGAAGCAGGATTTGAGCTCAGGTTCTCCTGACTTCAGGTCCGGTGCTCTATCCACTGAGCCACCTAGCTGCCCCGATTTAGAACTTTTTTAAAAAAATTTCTGCGGGTGCATATATCTTTGACAGCTTCCTGTTTATATCCTTTGATCATTACTGATTGGGGAGTGACTTTTGTTTTTATTTGAATCGTTTCCTAAAGTATCAAATATCAGACCTTTATCAGAAATTTTCTGTAAAAATGTTTCCAATTTAAATATTTTTCTAATTTTCATTGCATCAGTTTTGTCTGTGCAAAAACTTCAATTTTACGTAATCAAAATTGTCCATTTTGTCTTTTTTGAGTGACCCTTATCCCTTAATTGGTCATGACCTTATCCCCACCCATAGTTGTGATAGGTATTTCCTTTATTCTTTTTTTGTTTATGATACGACCTTTTATTTTTATTTTATTTTATTTTGCATTTTTGGTAAGGCGATCAGGGTTAAGTGACTTGCCCAGGGTCACACAGCTAGTGTCAAGTGTCTAAGGCCGGATTTGAACTCAGGTCCTCCTGACTAGCTGCCCCTATGATATAACATTTTATAACTAAATCAGGTATCCATTTAGAACTTAATCTTGGTTTATACTCTGAGATATTGGTCTAAACCTAGTAAGTCAGTTTCCTTTCCAGTTTCCTAGCAGTTTTTTTTTTCATAGTAAGACCTGCCCAGTAATTGTGGTTTCTGTATTTATCAAACAGTATGCTTCTATGTTTACTTCCCTGTGTTAGGTGCCTAATCTGTTCCACTTTTCTAGATTTTAACCAGTATCAAATATTACTGCTTTGTAGTACGGTATTTTTAGTTACAGTTTTTTGTTTCATTGATGTGTAAATACAAATAGTATGTTAAATTTATATTTGTGCTAGATTGTAGTCTCCTAACTCACATTTATATTTCATTTTGTAGTCCAAAAATGCTTTAGCATGTATTCTTGATACTTGTAACAACTTTGTAAAATGTAAAATTACTAGGACAATTATTCTCATTTTTACAGGTGAGGAAACTGATGCTTAGGGACAGAACTTTAATCTGGCTTTATTATTCCTGGTCCTTTGCTTCATCCTCTCTGTTTATATAGTCTAAGTTATGTTAAAAATTTATGACTGATTCGTATCCCACCTTTTGCTGCTTTATCCTATTTTCCCCTGTTTTCATTTGTCATATACTTTCTTGGTCTTCGTTTTCTTCAGTTTAGTAATGTTTTGATTCTAATCAAGGGGGGAAAATCATTTCGGTTTCATTGATAACTTCCCTATGTAATTTCCTTCTATCTGTGTAGGTGCTTCTAACTTTGGCAGAAGCTGTTTTGTTGGGTGATAATATGGTATGCTTAACTCCAAAGCTGCCACATTGGTCCTTGGCTTTACTTAGTTCAAGCCAACTTTCTGGCAGTATCCTGATACTTTTGTATAACACAGTTTACCAATTTATAGTGTCTTGTTGAATTATAGTTACAGCTAAAAATCTTCAACTAACCATAATATCATAGTTAAAGCATATTTAGCCCACACAAATTTTCTCAAGATTATCTATTTTGTTAACTGCAGTTCTTTAACAAATGAAGTCAGACGTATCTTAATTATTTTCATAAATATGTACCGTTTTTTATGAATATCTACAGTTTCCTAACTGAGGGTGTGTCACATCTTTCATACACATTCTATCCTTTATCACCTCTCAGTTACTATAAAATAGTAGTTTTTGGTGTGTTATTTTGTAATTCTAATGGGCTAACACATAGTAGACTTGTTTGACAGTTCCAAATGGGAGTTAATTTTGCATGTTATCTCTGTAAGAGGCATGTGACATACTGAATAGAAAGCTGGCAGTCACATCCCATTTCTCATACATCACCCTGGCCAAATCATTTAACCTCTCAGAGCCCACCCAATGCTCTTAAGATAATAAGGTATAGAAGAGTTCCTTACTTTTTTAAAAAACCAAAACACGTAAGTGGAATTAGTTCATATCATGATTTGCCTTTCTTAATAATTTAATTCTTTTTCAGGTCCTTAGCTGTTGGTAGTAAATCTGGTTACAAATTCTTCTCTCTTTCCTCTGTGGATAAGCTGGAACAGATTTATGAATGTAGTAAGTATTCTGTTATTTTCCCCTCTTCCTTTTGAATTTCATGTCGGCTCATTTATTTTACTGTCTTAAAGGCTCCTAGGACATTGTGAGTGTGGACTATCTGCTAAAATGTTACTGTGAATCACTAATTTTCTTGCTCACCATTTTGGTGTCAGTCTGTTTTGTGCAGTTAGGTAGTAGTATCTTAGAAATGACATCTTTGATGGTAAAAAGTTTCATAATAGATGGAAGTATGAACAGAAGGTATTTTTCAGTCCATATTCTCAGCTCACTATATGAACTTGGAGAAATTAAAATTGTCTACCTACTGATAATTCCTATTTCTTCCTAGCTGTTTACCAGTACTATCCATTCTATTCCCCAAGTAAGATTATTATATTTCTTTTAAGAATTCTGTTTTGCATCTCAGCACTTTGTGGCTTGGGGACTGGCATCATTCTCAGCTCACTGGCACTGCTGCCCCAAAACCCTCTCCGTCATCTTCCCCTGGACCGTTTTACTCTTCCCCCATAAGGGATGTTTGGACTAATTTTTTTAGGATAAGAAGACAGGCCCTGGGGGGGGAGGCTTGCTACCAAGAAGCTCAAGATGATAGAGGCAATGGTAACAACTGCAGCACAGAAACTGCTCCACCAGCTGAATGTTCTGTTGGAACAGGAGTCCAAACGTCAGCTAAAAGTCTATGGCATTTTCTCTAGCTGTGAATTTACTGGACAGATTTCCGTCCAAAATAAGCCCAAACGTCTTGGATGTGTGGGGTTAAGTTGCCTCTATCTGTATGTGAAATCGACAGAGGAAGAGAGAAAAGTCCCGTTGGCCACTGATTTGATCCGAATAAGCCAGTACAAATTTATGGTTTCTGACCTGATAGAATGGAAGAGAGTTTATTAGAGAAGGTGTGTTGGAAAGTCAAAGCTGCTACTGCCTTTCAGTTTCTACAGCTATTACTCACTCATTCATGAAAACTTAACCATTTGTAAGGAGAAAGAACCTGAGTTTTGAAAGACTGGAAGCTCAGCTTAAGGCATGCCACTGTAGTATTATATTTTCTAAAGCAAAGCCTTCTTTTATTGGTGTTGTCTATAATTGCACAGGAGATTCAAGCACAGAAATTTATAGAATTGATGGAAGGAGTAGGATGTCTTCAGAAACATTCCAAGAAAAATTGCAGAGATCTGAACTTCTGGCAGGAACTTGTAGCAAAGTGCCTAACTGAATACTCATCAAACAAGTGTTCTAAAACTAAATGTTCAAAAGTTGAAGTGAATTGTGTCTGGGCGTATTGCACGTCAGTTGAAGCATTGTTGTTACAAAATTGCTCATCTTCCAACAATCCCTGAAACTGGGTCTTAATAAGATTCTTACGGTGAAGAAATTCAACTATTTTGAAGGCTTATTTCACATCAGAACTGTGGACTCCAGTATTAGATTGGATTTAAGCTGTGAAGCCTGAAACATAGCAACTAGGTTGGCATTGATGTTTTCAGACTTGAGGGGGAAACATGCTGTAGTTGGAAATTGGTTGTGTGTGCTGCAGTTGGAAATGTGTTCAGGGCTAAATTATAATCCTTTTTGAAACATGTTTGTAAAAACTAAAACTCAGATGTGAAACCCTAATATAGAGTAAGGATGAGAGACCATATTGTGAATTGACAGTTAATATTGATCCAATCTAGTAGTATCTGGATCTGGTATACTTAGAGGTAGTATTGATGGCAAGGTGTGATTGACTTTAATTGATGTTATTTGAATTGTGATGCAAGTTCACAAACAGATCAACTTCAGAATAATGGTATGATGTACTAATTTAGTATAGCCAGGGTTACTAGTCTTTGATGCAGTATAAACAACCTTGTTAAAACCTTATACAACTAGATAATCTAATAATTCTAAAGATTTATTTTTGTTTGGCATATTTTTCATTTAAATTTAATTATAAAAATTCTGTTAAAGTTGTAGACCAACATGTTAAACTTAAGTGATCTTCAGCATTATCCTAGGGAACAAGTGATATGTTGTATACAAAGTTTTATACAGAATTATTTTTATCTCAACATCTAGACCCTTAGAAAATTAATTTCTGTTGTACAAGCAGCTTTCATAGTCTGCCAGTCTTAAACCTCAGCAATGCCTTTCTACAGCAATATATGCTAATGCTAACACTCTAGAGCTTTTAAATAAGGATTACTGTTGGTATGAAACTAGGTTGTTAGAACTTTATATTTAAAAGCAACGCTTATGGGATATGCTGTTGTCATAATGCTCCTGTAACAATTCAGCTTAGACTAAAGTGAGTTGCCTATCCAGATTCAAGTAAGCAGCAGTTTGATTGACTAATTATGTGGTAGTTGGAGCATTTAAGGCTAGTTGTAGGTTGATGAATCTAAATTGACATAGGGTTAGGAAAGCATATAATCAATGCAATATTTAGCTTAATTTCCACAATAGCTATAAGTAGTTCAAATTTCCCTTTGACATGTGGGGAAAAAAAATTCCCTTTAAGTATAAACCAGGGGCAGCTAGGTGGCTCAGTGGATAGAGCACCAGCCCTGAAGTCAGGAGGACCTGAGTTCAAATCTGGCCTTAGACCAAACACTTGACACGTACTAGCTGTGGGACCTTGGGCGTATCACTTAACCCCAATTGCCTTACCAAAAAACAAAACAAAACGAAAAACAAAGGATAAACCAAAGAACTACCCCATGTCTCATGTCTTATGCTTCGTTTTGTAAAACACTTCATTTTGCAGACGCCCTCTTCAGTTACTCCTAAACACCTGATTAATTAAATTTCCTTTCTAATTCATCAGTACAAACTTAAGTTACCTGAAGTAACCTAACAAAGTACCATTATTTCCTGGTACTAAGAAAGTGACCTTTCAATAAAACTATTGAAATGGAAAAAAAATTGTTTTACGTACCAAAATGAATGTGAGATTTCAGGATCTCATTACATACAATGGATATATTTTGTTAATTATGAACAGTAATTTTCCTGGTGGGTTAAAAAAAAAAGTGAAATGCACATTAGATACGTCTAAATAATGCTGTTGCAATGTTGGTGTTGTGAAAGTGAAACTTCTTTAAAAAAAAGAAAGTGAAATTTCTTGACAGTAGTCTGAGAAACCTCAATTTTATTTCTGAAAATACTGGATTGGCAAATGGCTAATTTTGTTCTTCATTGTCCCTCAAATTGACCAATTTAATGACTTAGTTCTCTTGAATTTTGTTGTTGCCTCTAGGGTACTTCTCTCTTCTTCCTCCACTCAGATTTTTTTTTTTTTTTTTTTTGTTAAGGCAATTGGGGTTAAGTGACTTGCCCAGGGTCACACAGCTAGTAAGTGTCAAGTGTTTGGTCTGAGGCGGAATTTGAACTGAGGTCCTCCTGACTTCAGGGCCAGTGCTGTATCCACTGTGCCACCTAGCTGCTCCAGATTTTTCTGATAAAATAAAAAATTAACTGCTAACTTGACAGCATGTTAAGCCAAAGAATAGATTTCATGTTTTACAAATTGACATGGTGAGGTTAGGCTAAAGAGACTATTTAGCTCTAAAGGAAAAATGAGCAAAGAACAATTGTTCTGTAGTTTTGCTTATTGAATGCTTTGCTTTTGTTTATTTTATTTGTAGGTATTAAATCCTTTTTTATGTAGAACATTAAGAACACTCTTTTTTTTCTTCTGGAAATGATTTCATTATTGCTTCCCCCAGCCTCCTTTATATAAAGAAGCCAGAAACAAAGCATATTTTTTTGTTTTAGGATTTAATTCACCCTCAGAAAATTAGTTTTATTCATTACTTACCACTGGTATGTAGGAAAAATGAATTGAAACCCCTCTTTGGGATAACAAGATCTTTTGCTATTCTTTTTATAACAGATTCTTTTCCTTTATGTCTCTTGATCCAGCAGGAATTGAAAAATTTCACTGCTTTTTTTAAAAATGAGCAATATCTGTGGTTTGTCTTTCCTTGAACTGTTACAAGGATATGTCTCAGAATGATCACTATTAAAATTAAAAATACAGCCAAATGTACAAGGTTAATTTAAAAACTAGATGTGTTGCTGTTTTAATTCGCTCAAACATTTTTATCTTTGTAGAGACTAAGTTGGTTGAAACTTATTTTAAATGTGTATATGGGAATATTGTGATTTAATTAACCCCTAAGGCAAATAGTTTTATATTTAAAGTAATCACTCTATAGCAGAGTAAAAATCTGAATCCGTCCTAGTTGGTGAATACCTTAGAGATGTGTTACTTGTATATATTTTACTTTGAGTTCTTAATTGTTTCTGATCTAAGAAAGTATTCCCTTATGTAAATCATCCACGTCTGAAGCTACGTGTTTATAAACTGTTTCTTTGCTTAGGAAGAAATGTAAGGTGCTAGAGGTTGCTTTGATTCTGGAGATGCATTGCAATAAGGAATGTAACTTTCTCTCCATTAGTTTCTTGCTTAGCTAATGAAAACTTATCAGTTGCATATCAGACCAACAGATGCATCCAAAGCCTTAAGGAAAAAAAGCATTTTTGAGAGTGTACTTCCTATTTGACAAGCTTTGCATCACACTGAAAATTGATTCAATATATAATAATGGATTCTATGTGGGAAACTCAAGTAACTTGTCTATTTCCCAAGTCTTTTACAGTGGAATAGCATGTATTTATTTACAGCTCAAGAACTACTCAAGGCATCTAATAGACGTGCATCATGATATGATGTTTATTCTTTCTCTTTCTCTGCTTCAGTATGGGACATAATGTTTTCTGCTGTAAACAGTACCATACAAGCGAACAACCAGAGTAGAGAAACATTGTTATACCTTATATGAAGTAGGGCCTAACTTTTTAGACAAGGAATAACACTGTTTCATCTCTGGCAAATATCACCCAGCTGAACTGTAAAAATAAAACTTCATATGCTTTGTTCATATTTGAACCCCTGTGTGTGATTAGCAAGAGGAGTTATTGACCCTGGTATCTTGGTAATGTACCATTTGGAGTAATCACTTTGTGCTTCTCTTTTGCCTTCGATTTCACTCTCTAGAATTCTGATAGTGTTAATGCTTGTTCAGTCAGAGGGTATTTTAGGTGCTCAGGCTTGTTTTTTGTTTTTAGAATTAGGAAGTGATTGCTACAGCTGTATAATTAGTATGTGCTGTTCATTACAGTGCAGTGACAATAAATTGAAATGTTAAAAGAGCTTGTTGAACAGATAGAATAGAATTAGCAACAAATCTGTAACATGGGTGCACCTTGCTTTGTGTAATAAAATAGATGCCTTCCTGAAAATTTCTTGGTAGATACTGTAAATTGGTTCAGTCATATTCTAGTATATCTGTAGGAAGATTGAGATTTGAAGACCCCCCCTAAGTTTTATGAATAGATTCATATTTGAAATAATCACTTACAGCAGAGTATAGATCAAAGTCCAACCTAGTTGGTGTAGAACATCATTATAGCATCAGAGATAGATCAGTTTTAAACTGTGGTTACTTTCCACAAGTTACACAGCTGAGTTAATAATTTTGCTGTAGATCACATTGTGATCACCCCCATGTGATCTGTACCACATAATTCAGCATATTAATTATATATTATAATATTCACTATTTTTAATGTATTCAGCAATTTCTCTGTAACTAGATCATAAGTTTCAGAGCAGAGACTATAGCTTATATGCGTCCCATAGCTTGTAACTAAATACATTGTCGACACCTAGTAAGTTTCCTAGCACGTTACTGAGTACATGTTGTTCAGTAATGTCCGTTACCCTGTATGGTATTTTCTTGAAAATATGGAGTGGTTTGCTATTTTCTTCTCCCGTGGAATAGGACAGAGGTTAAGTGACTTGCCTAGGGTCACACAGCTAGTGAGTGTCTGAGTACATAGTAGCTATTTAATATTTTAATTAATATTATAGAATCACGAGACATTGTTTCACCCTTCTATTTTCTAGTTTAAATCCAAGTTATTTCCTTTAGTTCCTGGGTGAGGATGATCCTTTTCTGTACTTATCTCTCTGGGTTTTTTAGGTCAAAACTACTTTTGGCTTCTGTCCACAAAAATTGTTTTTAGTTTTTCTTATTTTCAGGATATGTGGTATCTTGCTCAGTTCTATAGATAAGGCTCTAGTCTCCAAGTACATCTTTGGTTTTTGCTTTTCTATCAGAATGAATTTCCTGGGCTTCAAATCTACATCACCTTATCCTTAGCTTCCTCATTGACCTAGCTTGTTCACAAATTTCCAGGTTCATTCTCAGTCCTTTATACCATTCTACTGGCTTTTCTACTTGTTCCCCACCAGCATTTGTTTTCTGGCAAATTAGTATATTCACACCTACATTCAGTTCATAAATCTTGTTTGTACTGTCCCAGCACTACTTTCTCTTAAAACTGAAATCTTTACATACTGAAATTTCATTGTTTTCTGATTCTTACCATTTCCTCCTTCATTCAGTCTGAAGTTCATAACAGCGCAGGGTGACTTTAAGGTGATGGTTTTTGTCATGCAACTCACTGTCTTAAACTTTTCTAAGTTTATTTCTAGACTAGAACGGATAGCTTTACCATTTTGCTTTATTACATTTTTGTTTCAAAAGGACCCATATTACTACTTCTCTAAATTGTGAAGAAGTTGTATCAAGTAAAAATTTCATAGAAAAAAAAATTGGCTAAATATCATCTGACTTACAGGTTAAATTTTTCCTACTCCCAAGTGATAGAACAAATATACATCCAAGTTATAATTAGGGGCACATTCAGAATCATAGAATTTTAACACTAGAAGGGAGCTCAGGAGGCATACAACATCAAAAATTCAGGGCTAGGAGTGACTGCTGCTGGGGATTTTAACTTTTCATCAGACTGTCAGAAAGATCCATGACTCAAACCCCTAATTTGCCAGTTTCCAAATTTACTGATTGAGATTGAGACCTGGAAAGGCATGATCAAGGTCATACAACTAGTTAGTAGAGCCAGAACCCTGTCTCCTGACTTTGTCTAGTGTCTTTTCCCATCATGCCCTTCTGAATGATTTACATTCAATTTACGTTCTGTAAATGTGCTTTTGTTAGCTTCTTCAAGATGAACTGTCTGTCTACAGTTCAGGGCACTGGATGTCAAAAAATTGAGAAAAATATACTATAAAGTATCTGTGTGCTTTACTTTCTTCTACTTTATCCCATGGAATGCAAGATTAATTCATTTTCCTTCAGTTTTGCCTATTGACTGTGAAAGTTTTGATCAGAGGTGAATCTTTAAATTTTCATGATCACAGCTTGTTATTGGGATATAAGGTTGGCACTTGAGATTTTTTTTTAATCAAATGGTTAAGTAATACCATAGCAAACGATATAGATATATTCCTTAGAAGGTAGATATAAATTAAATATTTCTAAATTGAGCTATATTTTAGATGCAGTGGAGAAACTTGGCAGTTAAAGGAATTTTCTGTTCAGCAGGTGATTATTCCTGGTTTTATCTTTGTGCATCTGGGTTTGTATAACACCCTCATTCATAACAGATTCATTCTTGAGGCCCAAAATGAACAACAAGGCAGGAAAACTTACTGCAGTGGCCTATACACACATACATACATATGCCTATGATATGTATATAATATATATTATAATAATTATATATATAGAATTCTTGAGTGTAATACTCTGCTGTGTTGGACTTGTTCTTTGTATTCTTTCTGGTTATTTAGTCTGCTTTTAGGTTGCCACTTGCCCAGGAGGAGTCTTTTGCCCCAGGTAGGATGTTTGATTATGAAGAGAGTTATACCTGAATACTATTGTTTTTGAGTTGCCTTGTCATGGTGTGCACTAACATGGATTTTTCCCACTTTCTCCCTTTTGTGCTTATATTTCAGCTGATACCGAAGATGTGTGTATCGTGGAAAGATTGTTTTCAAGTAGCCTGGTGGCTATTGTTAGCCTCAAAGCTCCACGGAAGCTAAAAGTCTGCCACTTTAAGAAGGGGACTGAAATATGCAATTATAGCTATTCCAATACCATATTGGCAGTCAAATTGAATAGGCAGGTAAGTTAACAGCCTTTGAAAAGTAAGAGTGAAATAAATGTATCCAAGTCTTTTGTTTTTGTAAATGTTTCAATGGTTTCCCATTTCCTAAAGAATGTAGTTCAAACTCTTTTATTCAAGGGCCTTCACAGTTACCTTCATCCTCTCCTTCAGTAAAACCAATTTATTCACTGTCTCCTAAACATGCCTTGCAGTTCTCCACCTTCCTGTTCTTTCTCAGCTCATCATACAATTGTATATTCTTGCGGCATCTCTTCCACTCTTGTTTTGAACATTATTTTTTTGTTTAGCATTTTATATGCTTAAGTCTTGTCTCCCCGGCCAGTTCCTGTGTTTCTAGAGAACTTTACCTCAACCTTGTTTATATCCCTTAAAGTCTCCTGTACATAGGAGAACCTTAATCTTTTTTGATTTGGTTTTATGAGACTTCCCTATGCAGCTCCTATTTCCTCATTGAATAAGTGCATTGTCAAGGAAAGGGCTATTCCCTAAGGATCCCTAAAAGCTTTCTGTTTATGGCATGAGATTGAGTGTAGGGAAAGGATAATTGCAAGCTGACTGTAGAATAAATATTTTTGTTATTAGAGGAATCTTAATTACTCTGAGATACAGATGAAGTAACTGTTGTATAATACGTTTAATAAAAAATGCTTATTTAAATGATCCTAACATTTCAGGATAGAATCATATGGTAATCTTGTTTCTTCTTTTTTTTTTCCCATTTCATTCTTTAGAGGTTGATAGTATGCCTAGAAGAATGTCTATACATACACAATATTCGTGATATGAAGGTACTGCATACAATCAGGGAAACTCCCCCTAACCCTGCAGGTAAATTCACTGGTAAAAAGAAAACTAATACTTCTGTATTAGTCTTTTTATTGGAAATTCAAAACACTTTAAAATATTTAGTTTCCATTATGTATCTCTGTAGTTGCCTTTCAATTGTTTTAGGTAACTGCAGGTGGGAGATTTTCTAACTACACTGAATTTCTTAAGTAATTTTAAGAAGCATAGTGGTTTAGTGAATATAGAGCAGACATGAAATCAGGAAGATCTGAGTTCAAATCACACCTCTCTCAGGTTCAGTTTCCTCATCTGTAAAATGCTGTTGGCCACATCTGTTGTACCTTCTTCACAGGATTATTCTGAGGACCAAATGAGAATCTGTGGAAAGCAAGTACTTTGTAAACTGGAAAGCAGGGGGCGGCTAAGTGGCGCAGTAGATAGAGCACCGGCCCTAGATTCAGGGGGACCTGAGTTCAAATACGGCCTCAGACATAAAACACTAGCTGTGTGACCCTGGGCAAGTCACTTAACCTCCATTGCCCAACCTGGGGAAAAAAAAAGTAAAAAAAAAAAATTAAGCTGGAAAGCAATATATAAATGTTTTATTATTATCACCTTAAATAATGTATGTAGAAATGAGGCATAGGTAATTTTCCTTTCGGTGGAGTAAAGATTGTGACCTGAAAACATTTTGCTCTCTTAATGTTCCCCACCCCCACCCCAAACAGCCTAAACTATCAAACTGAATTCTGTGTAGGAAAACCAGTTAAAAGTCAGTGAGTGATTTTTTTTTTCCAGCTTAGGGCAGCTTAGGAAGACAGAAAAAGAGGTCTGCAGACAATTGGGCAGGGACTTGGGCCAAAGCAAGCAACACCAGAAGTGGTAGTAACATCTGGCTAAGGCAGTAACAGCAGCATGCAGGAGCAGTCCAATAATGCCTAGGGATGGTAAAAAAAAAAAATTCTAGACAGAGTCCAGGAGACTCCTGTATTAGCATTGGGAGCAGAAACAGGTGCCATCTGGCAGCTTTGTCACCCAGTAACCAGTTCTGGATCACAGTTCCAGGGCAGAGAGAGGTCATGAGGAAGCAGGGGGCCCTACTCTACCTGAGTAAGGACCAGAGCTCAAACCAGGGAGGAAATGAGACTTGACACTGGATCACACCAGGTTGGAAGTACTGAAAACTTAACGAGCTGTGAAAGCAGCAAAAGCTCATATAGTATCTCAGACCAGATATCTACCCTCCCTCCAAGTCCCTCCCCCACCCCCATCTCCAGAGAGAGTGAGCAGAGTCCAACTCCTGTAAGTCCATGGTCAAAAAAATAGGCTGGAAAATGAGCAAACAACAAGAAGAAATTGACCATAAAAAACTTGTATAATGACAGAGAAACTTGAGACAAACTCAGAGGACAGTGACTTAAACATCTGCAAGCAAAGCTTCAAAGAAAAGTGCAGATTGGATACAAGCTCAGAAAGTCCTAGAAGAGCTAAAGAGTTTTTTTTAAAACAAAAACTGATTTTAAAAATCAAATAAGAACAGTGGAAAAATTGGAAAGAACAGCAATGCAAGAAAATTGTGAAAATAGAATTAACGGCTTGGTAAAAGAGGCATAAAAAATAATTGAAGAAAATAATTTAAAAGTCAGAATTGGCCAAAAAGTAAGAGATATAAAACCTCGATAAATAAAATAACTCTTTAATTTTCTTTTTTATGGGGATAACAGTTCAAATTCAAGTCCTCAAACTGTTCATAATAATTTGTTAAGCACTAAAAGTGATTATCTTGGCCTTACACTTCTGGTAAATCATTCAGGTGCCTGCACTCCTCGTTATGTAGGTATCAAATGGGTAAATGCTTAAAATGAAGTAAATTGCTAAAAATTTTAAATACCATATGTATTTTGAGTTCACTTTTTAAATGAAAGAGAAAAAAAATTGTTTTTTTTTTTTTTCCCCTTACCACTGGTCCTCTTTGTATTCTTTACAGGTTTGTGTGCGCTGTCAATAAACAATGACAATTGTTATCTGGCTTATCCTGGGAGTGCGACTATTGGGGAAGTACAAGTCTTTGACACTATTAATTTGGTGAGGATCCCTTTTGCAAAATATGATTGATAGGAAAGTTTTTATGCACTGGAGGAGTTTTTGGAAATCTAAATTTTCTAGAATTGTAGTATAGACCTTTTTTGCTGTGATCTGTGAGATCTGAGGCGGCTTCTGCCCTTTCATGTCTCATTGCCATATTGTTTATTCAGTTCATAGCTATCTGTTTCTTTAGCATTGTAGAAATCTTCAATACAGTAGTTTTGTCCTTTAAGATACAAATTGATTTAATATTTTCATTAACTATTAGCATTTTAGCAGCTTATCTGTATTTCTAGCACATAACTGATAAATTATTTCTTGCTCAATAATTAACATTTTATTTCTTTTTACACTTTTTAGAGGGCTGCTAATATGATACCAGCTCATGATAGCCCCCTAGCAGCCTTGGCTTTTGATGCAAGTGGTACCAAACTTGCCACTGCTTCTGAGAAGGTAGGTCATAATTTGCTGTAAGTCAGAGGATTTCATTTAAGGTTTTTGCCAGTACTGTTCACAACAGCCAATCATGTTTCCATGTAAACATTGCAAAGAATAAAAAGATGCATCGATTGTTCAGCCATCAGTGTGGTCCCTTGAACCTAATTTTAACATCTTTTGCATATTTATAGAACTAAATTTAGAATTTGAGTCACATCACTGACAGGTAGAAAAAGAGGGGTGATTTCAACCATTACATAGGCTTTGAGCTCTTCAATAGATCAGAGCAAACAATTCCTACACATTAAATGAAATTTACTTTGCTTCAAAATACTTCATTTATTTTTAAGCTGTCTCTTCTTACAGTGAGCCCTCAAGGGAAATATGGTTAACTGTAACCTCATCCATCTTTCCCACTGGCCCAGTGGTAGAGTCTTGCTGGGAAAAACCCACAATTCTTATTGAGCCCCCTTTTCTTTAAATTCATCTTCATTTTCTAATACATCCTTCCATTTCCCCCTAGAGAGCTGTCTTTTATTACGAAGTAAAAAATAGGAAGAAGTTAGGCAAAACTAATATCAACTAGTTCAGTGGGGATCCACATCCTATAGTCCCCCACCACTGCAGAAGAGAGAAGGTGCATTTTCGACCTTGGTCACTAACAGTTACACAAAATTCTTTGACTTTTGAGGGGTTTGGAGGTTCCTTCCCTTTACATAGGAAGTTCCTTTACATAGGAGGTTCCTTCCCTTACATAGTGTTATTTATCATATGTTGTTTTCCTGTTTTCCTATGTTTCTATTTTTCTTATTTGTTTCTTACATTACCAATAGTTAATGGTTTGTCTAGATTATTTTTCTTTTTTCCTATCATAGGGAACTGTGATTAGGGTATTTTCCATCCCAGAAGGACAGAAAATCTTTGAGTTCCGGAGAGGAGTAAAGAGGTGATGTATATCAGCATTTCTTGGAAATGCTTTAGGATATTTGGATTTTAGTTGTGGGTTATCTTGGATATAGTGGAAATAGGTTTAAACTAACAAAAGTTATATGAAAAGATTTCAACAGTGGATTAAATTAATTTTAAATCTGGAATGATTTGTGTGGCACCACATGAACCTGGAAAAGTTTTGACTAGACAACCCTCATGTTTCCCCTCCTTGCATAAATATGAATTTTATTATCTAGTTAAATTTTCAGTTTTAACAAAAGGATTCCACTTGCTATTGGAAAATTTTTTTTTAAGATGTATCCATAGCATGAGCTGGCCAAGAAGACCTGGTCATGATCCATCTTTAACATAGTCTGGTTATATGCCTCTGGCCTAGTTACCTAGCCTCTCAGTGCTCTAGGCAACTCTCTAAAGACTAGGCAGCAGAAAAAATGCCAACCTGCATTGGTAGAAGAAATTTCTCGCCAGCACTCCCTAAATATGAAACCACAGTCTGATCAGTACTGTAAATAGTGTAACTAGCAAATATACTTATTTACAAGTGGAGAAATCTCCATAGAAGGCAACTTGATCACAATTGCTTAATTAACTAGATTCAGGATTTTACTGCTTCACTGAACCAATGGTTAGTGCTCTCTACTAATAAGAATGTGATTATAAACTATATAAGGGTTTTTAATAAATCCAGAATCTAAACTAGTTAATTTCAGTTACAGTTCAAATTACTAGTTATAGCCCTTGAACTGGAACTCTCTGCCATTCATCTGCAGTTCTGAAATAATTGACCCAAAATATGAATATGACCCCAAACCAGGATGATGAGACCTTATTATAACAAGTGGAATATCAACCTCTTGCCCTTGTTAATTAGGAGTAAAAATAAATTATTCTTTTTGGCTATAATTAAATCCATATATACCAGGGAGAACACTTTACATTGATACTTAGACACCATATTTATGAAGTTCTGCCACCTTAATGGTATTTAAAGGTTGCTGATTTGCACCATCTTCTGTATGAATCAGACACTTTAATAGCCATGTAACCCCAGGCAAGTCACTCAATCTTTGCCTCAGTTTCTGTAAAGTCCTTAGTACATAGTATAAATGTTTGTTCCTTCTCCTCTTTCCTTATAGATTGCTATATTCAATATAAGGAACTTGGGGCTAATAAAAAAGTCTTACTTGAAAGTTAATTCATTGTGATGGTATATTTTACAGATTTTTTTTCTTTTTACCCTCCTACTTCATGAGAAAAAAAGCCAAACAGAATGAGAAGCCCAAATATCATGTTACAGTAAATGCTTTGTTATCATAGTCATATCTAAGCAGATATTTCTTTAATATTTACTAGTGCCCTTTCTTAGAGGATAGAAGAGAGTTAAGTTGTATCTTGATGAATTCTCTTCTTCAGGTGTGTAAGCATTTGCTCTTTGGCCTTCAGCATGGATGGAATGTTCCTCTCTGCATCCAGTAACACTGAAACAGTGCACATCTTCAAACTTGAGACTGTGAAAGAGAAGTGAGTCAGAATATTAGATTTTAGAAAGTGCGTAAGCTTGGAAATGGATTGTTTCTTATAGTAGTAGAGAATTTTAGAGTTGAAAGGGACAGAAACCATTTAGACTTCTGTTTGCCTTAGTTTCCTCAACTGTAAAATGGGATCATAATAGCAACCTACTTACCAGGATTGTTGTGAGGATCAAGTAAGATCTGGTACATAGTAGATGCTTGTCCCTTCTTTCCTTCCTTTCTGCCTGGGGTAGGGGGAGGCCTACACCACCTTCCCCCGCCCCCCCCCCCAAAAAAAATCCTTTCCCCCAACAAGCAAGTGGTCATCCAGCCTTGGTTGAACATTACCTCTTTAAACAACTCAACAGTTTGAGTTGAGGAGCTAAACAGTAGCTCCAACAGTTTTTCCTATAATTAAGCCTTAATTTGCCTCTTTGTAATTTCCACCTCTTTAACTTCTGGGATAAAACATAACAGACTTTTGAATCAAATTCCCTTTCTGGTACTCACAGCCTGTGTAAATGTAGGCAAGTTACTTAATCTCTGTGGTCATCAGTTTTTTTCATCTGGAAAAGGAGAGGATAGAATAGATGCTAGCCTCTGAGGTCCCTTTCAGCTCATTCAATACATAACAACCTTTCAAGTATGTAAAGACAGCCGCTTGAATCTCCTCCAGTCATATATCAATCAGTCATGGTCATCCTTTTGTCCTTCTCAAGCTTAGTAGTATCCTTCCTAAAGTATGATGCCCAGGATGTTAGCGTAGTATTCCAATTGTAGTTTGCTATGAAAGATGCTTTAGAGTAACTGTCAGATTAGGCTGGCCTGTACTGTCTTTCTTTTAAAATGCCTTTGTAAAGTTTTTCAATCTATTTAATTTTTAAAAAGGAAAATAGTTTGTTCATATGACATACATACACAGTTAGCTCCTAATAAAATTTTTGTGCCTCTATGTGGCATTAAAATGCATATTTTGTCTTTATAACAATAAAGAAATGGAACGGTATTAAGTATTATATGGTGCTACAGAGTTGCATAATTTTTTCCTTCCGAGAGCATTTGACTTTAATTTTTCTTGATTTAGGAACGTAAAAAGGTATTTCAAGCTTCATAGGCTAACATTGATGAGGAAGTAGAAATTGAATTCATAAAGAATAGTATGTTTTTTTTATTCCTGGAGGGTTTTCATGAGGCAGATCAAGAAAATTGACACCATTATTTCTTTTAGACCTCAGGAGGAACCCACTACCTGGACTGGTTACTTTGGGAAAGTGCTTATGGCATCTACCAGCTATTTGCCCTCTCAAGTAACAGAAATGTTTAACCAGGGTAGAGCATTTGCTACTGTCCGACTACCATTCTGCGGTCACAAAAATATCTGTTCACTTGCCACGTAAGTATGGTGAATGGTGTTTACATAATCTGATTTGCAATGATTATGTTGAATAGCAAGGAAGTTCTTGACCCAGGTTGTTTGAAGTGATCATGGTACAGCTGCAGGGTTTGAGTTTGCTTAATAGTTGTGTGAGTGTGGACAGATAACCTCTCTGAGCATATTTCCTCATGTGACATGGCTTAAAAAGTAGTTTATAACTACCTGCTCTCACAGGATTTACACTCTGCAAATTTTAAAGCAATATAGAAATACAAACTTGTAGCATTATTATCTTACATCATCTGATAGGCACCCTTTGAGGATCTTCTAATTGCATTGAAGAAAATTATTCAAAGAATTGGTGGAAACAGTCACTTTGATCTGGAAAAATGTTGAACCAAAGTTCTCAGGTGTATCTTGAACACACATTGAAATTCTTTAGTTATTCATTAGTATTTATTAGTTTTTAAAATTTCAGTTGTTTGATGAGTGCCCAGTCATGGAATGCCCTGAATATAAGCTGCAGATGAACAGAAAGATGACCTTTTACATTATGTATGCTTCTTTGTCTCTCATTAAAGTCTGAAGGTGTTTAACCAGATTCCTCTTTTTTGCACTCCAAATCATTTTTTTAAATTAGCTCATTTTTATTTATGCCCTTCTTATTCACTCTTTTTCTTCACCTTTCCCCTACCCTTATAACAAAGATTTTTAAAAAACTAACAACATCTGTATTTAGCAGTATGCCATATTCCACCTCTGCAGTGAATGTAGGGAGGTACATTTTTTTTAACTCTCTGAACTACCAGACTTGGTCATCATCATTATTCAGCATTCATTTTTGTTTTCCAAATTCCCTTCTAACAATTTCAGTTTGCATTTTCTTTATATTTGGCAAGGTCAGAGTTAAAATTACCCATATTTAAAGATGAGAAGTTTGAGGTTTTTTTAATAGGAGTTTTACAGTTTTGTTTTGATCTCATTTGAAATTGTATGTTTCCTGACATAAACTGTAATTACCCTTATTGCTAGAGACCTTAGTTAACTACTATTCTTTTGAGGTACAGTAGAAAAGTGGCTGGATTTTGATTCAGAGGTCCTGATTTCAAATCCTGCCTATTTGACCATAGGCAGCTGCCTTGCCCTCTCTGAGTCTTTGCAAATGAGGGAACTTGAGATCCCTTCCAGTGCTAGCTCTGTGATCTGGTGCCCCTCTGTTAATGTGGGGGAGCATTTTTAGCTATCCAGGGTCATTCAGTAAGCTCATTGTGGTATATTGATAAGGTTAAGCATAATCTTCTGGTTTTGAAAGAAATATGTTGCTGAAATGCTCACCATTTTCTCCTCTCTAGAATTCAGAAGATTCCCCGATTATTAGTGGGAGCTTCTGATGGATACTTATATATGTACAACCTGGATCCTCAGGAAGGAGGGGAGTGCACTTTGATGAAACAACACAAGTAAGTTTATCAAATTGATTTCACAAGTATGCGTCCTCCCACATTTAAGGTTTTTTCAAGAAGTGGTTAGAGGAGAGGACAGAAGTTTATCTTTCCAACAGAGTAGATGATAGCATTTACTATATTTACAGTATTTGTTACATTTTTTGAAAGTTTAACACAGTTTTTCAGATTGGCTAGATTTTTGCCTTTCTTGAATGTCACTTTTCAGAGTGAAGCTTGATGTTATGTGGTAATGAGGTTCTTAAGGATAGGAACTGTTATATTTTTATCTTTGTATCCCAAGAATCTAGCTCAGTTCTTGGTACATAAGGTCTTAATAAAATGCAAATTGATTGATGTCTTGGACAGTGAAAATATTAAAATCATGCTGCCACTAGAGCATCATGCTTTGAATTTTGCCCTCTTGCATGTTACTGCAGAGCACTGGAATTAAGTAATATTCTTGCTTTATTGATTCTTGCTTTAAGCAAACCAATATGAAAGCAGTTAATTAGTGGAAGTTCTCAAATATGTCTTGATTTATAAAAATTTCATTTAGTTCCATTTGTTGTACTTGTTTTTGTTTGTCTGTTTGTTTTTTAGTGTCTTTTCAAAGTGTAGGAGGGAAGAATTACCAAACTCTACAGAGTCATTGGAGTGAGCCCCACCAGATTCACTTCTGAGTGTTACATAACTAATGAATGAGTTGCTCCCTTGCTTGCAGGACACAGTGACTGAGGCTAGCTATTGCTGGGCTGGGCCAAGCAGGTATCCCTCAAGTCTGGCTCCATACCAGGCTTGGATATTGTGGCTGTCAGCAGGCTCTATGGACCCTTCTGAAGCCCATGAGATCTTAAATTGGTCTATCTCATCTCAGATTCTCTCAGAATCAGGAAAGATTCCACAGAGCCAACAGAAGGAGCACCGTGTGTTTATGTTCAACAAGATCAGTCATGGACAGCTGTACAAGGGCTAACAGGGCTTCACCATATACTTGAATTCACCAGGTCTCTACGTTGATTACCAGCAGGCAGACTCATATTGCACATGCATCATGGAAACACTTATTGGCCAGTCTCCCCAATACACTGTTACTCCACCCTGCCATCCTTACCTGACTGGGATGCATTTTGAATGTATTGTCCTTATCGACAACAGTTCTATAGGATACTGGAGAGGTTGCCCTTTCATTTGCTTCCCTATTGCTAGGTAGGAAAAAGTTAGCGTGCCGCTTTTTTTGAGAGTCACAGATTTCATTGTTATCCTGATGCTTGTACATGATACTGAGAATATCTGTTACCTGCTTTTCTTTTTTTTCAAGTATATAATAAATTCATGTGTTTCCTCCCAGTCTTAAAGTTGCGTGCATTTCAAAAATACATGCTTCATTGTCCCTCCTTTCTGGGCTTGGGTCAGGCAGGTAATTCTATAGGGCTGGCTCCTCCCTGGAGTCAGCTACTATGACTGTCAGCTGACTCTGCTATATACTACACTTGATGGGTTTCTAGTGGCTCCTTCCCACATTTTAAAGCTTACAAGGTCGTAACCTGGACTATTACATCTGAGATACTCATTCACCAGTTAAAGGGCATGAAGTGGAGTTGGAGCTAAGATGATGGAGGTACAAGATGCAATACAATGAGCTTCCACCCACCCAAAAAAAAAAAAACTCCTTCAAACAGATGTAACCTGGAAGAACAAGTAAACAAAAGAACCCAGCCATAAAAAACTTATGGTAGTAAGGATACTCAAGACACAAACACAGAAAAAGAGAATGACCCTAAGTCTTTGAGAAAGCACAACTTGGGCTCAAACAGCTAGAATGCCTGGAAGAAATGAAGCTAATTAAGTGAAAACATCAGAGAAAAAAGAATTGGAAAAGAAATTAACAGCTTGCCCCAAGAGGTACAAAACCTTGCCCAAGCAACAAATTTAAAAGACTAAAAGAGAAAATGTAAGTTATCTCATAGCAAAAACAACTGATTTGGAAAACAGATTGAGGAGAAAAAATTTAGTCATTGGACCATCTGAATTCTGAGACCAGAAAAGGAACCTAGACAACAAATCTGCCTAGATTTCAAAGAAACTACCAGTCACTTCCTGAAGAAACTCTAAAATGAAAACTTCCGGAAACATCATAGCCAAAATTCAAAATTACTGAGTCAAATAATACAAGCAGCCAGAAAGAAAGAATTCAGATACCAAGGATCCACAGTCAGGATCACATGTGATTTAGCAGCCGCCACTGTAAAGGAGCAGAGAACTTGGATTATATTCTAGAAGGCAAAGGATATAAACTTGAAACTGATTATATTGCTACAGAGGAAAAATGAACCTTGAATGGCAGTAGAATTCCTGATGAAAGTGACAGCTGCATGCAAACCTAAAAAGGCAAATATGAATGAACAATAAGAATAAGGATAAATGGCCAGCATTCAAATATGGGAAGATGATTCTCTGAACCCTGTCATCAAAGGTCATAACGGAAGTCTAATTCTTCCCAAGGCCTGGAAGTGGTTTTGTTATGTCTTAATGATCTCGGGAGAAGAATGGGAAAAGGCAAAGAATACACTTGAAGGGAAGGGTAAGGAAGGTTAAAGAAAATGAAATGAGAGGGAAAGTAGACATCTGTACAGGTGAGGGGACAGGGAGAGCAGTTTTGATGATCCATCCTCAAAGAAAAGAAGACCATATACACATGCATACAGTTGGGTACAGAAGTACATTTTATTCAACAGTGAAATAGGAGGAAAGGGGAAGGGGAAAATAGACAGGGATTAGTCCTAATAAAACAAGTCCTAAGGACCTACAAAAATAGAGCCTTTTTTGAGGTGGCAAAGCATGGGAATCTGAGGAAGTTTCCATAAATTGGAGAATGAACAAGTTACAGTATGTAAATGTGATAAGTTTTCTAACTGTTGTGCTATAAGAAATGATGGAGGGTATGGTTTCCAAAAATTTTTTTCCAAAAATACTGGGATAACTGATACAGAGTGAGTCATTTGAGCAGAACCAGGAGAACAGTTTATACAGGGACGAACAGTAAGATGAAAACAACTTTGAAAGAATTAGGAACTCTAATTCCCTAATTGGTCATTACATTGATAAATGTTTCAGCAGTATCTGAGACATGGTACCTACCTCCTGATGATGAAAGAAGTGCAGAATGAAACAATTTTTTTTTTTGGCTATAACTAATGGGAAAATTTTTTTCGTGATCATACATGTTTTGTAATAGGTTTTATTCTCAGTTGTGGGGGTAGGGTTAGGGGGAAGGTGAAGTTGGACTTTTGCTGCCTGCGAAATAAGATACTCATTCACCTAGGTTCAGGAAGCTTTGCAACCTATTCCCTAGTTTCCATTTTCCCTCCTCCTCTCCTCCACCCCCATAACAGTTCAGGAAAAAAAAGGAGTTGTATAAAATACACATTTCATTATCAAGCAAAACAAATTCCTACATGGACTATGTCTGAAAGTATCATTCTATAACTTGAATCCATCACTTTTGTCAGAAGCATACTTGATCATTGGCTCTTTGTAATAATGGTTAGTCATTGATTAGTCTTTGGAAGTCATCTTTACAGTGTTACTAGTTCTGTTCATTTCACTGTTCACCAGGTTTCTGTGAAACCATCCATTTGGACATTTTCTTACAGAACAATAATGTTCTATTACATTAATACACTGTAATCTGTTTAGTTATTCCCCCATTTGTGGGCAGTTAATAAATGCTGTGCCCCTTCACTTCCATTTCTTATAACAAAAGTTCGTGGTATAGAACTTAAGTCCCACATGTACAGGAAATCAGTTTCCCACAAACAGGCAGATTTAGCAAAGAACCTTTTATTGTATTTATCAGAGGTTACTGCTTACTTCATATTTAACAAGAGCTTGCCTTGGTGCTCAAAATAGCTTTCCCATGCCGAAAGTCAGAAAAGAAAAATCAGGTTTCTTATTACAGCAGGAAAACTGGTCCCAGTAGAGCTTCCCAGACCTTATGAAATTATCCTTGCAGGGTTTACTGTGGGTCACCCCTTAAGCCTCAGGTGACAGATTGGTTTGTGTAGCAACTGAATATGAAGAGCTATAGATTAGGAAACTCTCCCTCTTCTGCTAAGGGGTCCTCTGCTCTGGTCCTACTTTCACAGGATTTAAGCCTATAAAAAATTTTGGGGGGTTCCCATAGTAACATAGAACCCTAAACTTTTCTCTAGAGATTCCTGATATCATTTGGGAATCCAACTAGATGTCTGCCCAGCAAAATCTGCTGGGTTTCTCAAAAATGACGCCTACTATTTTCTCCAGGGAACTCTGAAACACCTAGATAATCCAGTTGGATGTCCAGACAATCTCCAGATGTCTTTTCACAAGGGGTCACAGCAAATCTTGTGGTCTGTGAGATAGGTTACCCATCATTTTCCCTAGGGAGCTCTGAAACACGGGAAATATAGACAGAAGTATGCGTCACACCAAAGTATCGCCACGAGTGTATAAACCATACATGATTCCAAAACGGTACCTGAAGTTTCCCCAGAGGATCCCTGAAACTGGGCAATTCAGATGGGATCTGTTTTCTTTTCCTCCCATCCCCGTAACTGTACTGTTCAAAAAGCAGAACCTGCCTAATAAACGTGCATAGGCCAACAGAATAAAGTCCCACAGTGACTGTATCCAAAAAAGTTTTCTCATTTTCCATTGTAAGTCCATCATCTGTCTGGAAGAATAGGGTAGTGGGCTTCATCTCAGTACGCTGGAAACATGGCTATTCGTTGCATCAAGCAGAGTTTCAGAGTCTTTCAAAATTGTTTTTATAAGGTTATTATGTAAATTGTCCTTTTTCTATTTCATTCTGTATCAGTTTCTTACCAGTTTTCTCACTCATATTTTATGACAGTTATATTTCATTTCAGTCAATATTTAAGAACCTAATAGGTGCTAAATGCTAGGGTTACAAAGAAAGGCAAAAACAGTCTCTGCTGTCAAGCTCATAGTCTAATGGAACAGAAAACATGAGTAGCTACTTAGAAGATGTAGAAAAAGTATTTTGGAGATCATTTCAGAAGGAAGGCACGAGGATTAAGGAGAAATACCAACAGGCTTCTCGGTCCCTGAAAATGGGAAAGTTGCAGATGAGACCCTACATAGCACATATATTTGGAAGTACTCTCCCAACTCTTTCACTTTCAAAACACCTATGGGCAAAGCATTGGAATAAAGAATGCAATACTGTTGCTTGTGTGAAAATTGGGGATAGGTCTTAAGTGCCTTGATCTACAAAAATTTCATTATACGTAATTCTTTTAAAAAATCTTTTACAAAGGAATATTTGCTGAGAAAGTTTAGCAAGGTGAGTTACAGAAACATCCTGCCACACAAGGGTACACTCCCCTTTGTCCCTGGAAGGAATGAACTCAAAACTTCAGGTGATCGTTATCAATTAGCAAGCATTCTGTCTTGTATTAAATGCTGTGAATACAAAGGAAAGGAGGTCAGAGGTCAAGTCCTGGAGGGAGGCTAGGTTCAGGTTCTACCACCTTTGAAGTTTATGACCTTCATAGAAGTTAACTGGTTCAGTAAACAAACATTAAACTCTTAAGGTACAGGGAATATAAGGATATATCATATATACATTGCAGATGGAGGGGGTCATCTCAAAGGGAAGCCTTAAGCAGTGCGGTGGCTAGAAAAGGCGTCTGTGAAGAAAGCAAGGAAGGACATTCTAGGAATGGTAATCAGCAAAAGGGCAAAAAGTCCAAAGGTGGAGTGTCTTGGACAAGGACAGCAAGAAGGGGCAATACGGTCAAACTTTGAGTTTTAGGGAAATCATTTTGGCAGCTGCATGGAGGATAGGTTATAGTGGGAAGAGACTTAAGGCAGAGAGACCAACCATAAGGCTGTTGCAGTAGTTCAAGTATAAGGGCAGGATGGTATGAACCTGAGTGGCTGAGTGAATGAAGAAGAGAAGTGTTATGAAGTAGAATAGCAACATTGGAAATACGGTGTAAATTCAAGGGCGGAATCTGGTTGATAGGTTTTGGACTAGGAGAATAGTAATACTGTAATAGGGGAGTTAGAGAAGAGGATTTGGGAAAGAGAATGAATTTAATTTTGGACAGTGACTGAGATGTTACCAGGTTTGAGATAGCAGTTGATGTGAGCATGGGGCTCAGAAAACAAATTAAGTCTAGATGAATAGATCTGAGGATTGTCTGTATAGGGATAATTGAAACCGTGGGATCTGTCTCAAAGGGAGGTGAATTCAACTCCCCCCACCTTCCTCCTTTGTTTCTGAGATGCATCAACTCAGTTGCTGGGGCAAGTAACTGCTGGACGGGGTCAAGCTGGGTGCTCCTCAGGGCTCATCCTTTCCAGATTTGGTAGATGCAGCCACCAGCAGGCTCCACCAGGAAATTAGGTGTCTTCCTTAGGCTGTGTTCTTGGCCACACTTCTTACTTCACATAGTGATCTCTCTTGCGGATCTCAGTTCCCGTGGATTCAGTTATTACTATGGAAATAATTCCCAGATATGTATGTCCCACATTGGTTTCTGTTGGGTTACCATCCTACATCTCCAAATGCCTTTCAAGCCAGATGTCCTACAGGCATCTCAGCTTGTGCAGATCAAAATTCTTTTTCCCCCCGAACTCTACCTGCTTACAAACTTCCCCTGTCGTTGTCAAGGGCACCATCATCTCAGTCTCTCTCAGGCCTATAACCTCAGGCTCCTCAGTTCCTCATTCTTACCTCACATACCCAAATATTGCCAGATCTGGCATTACTACCTTCATAGCTTCTCTTATACATTCTCTTTACTTATACCTTCTTTTTTTCATCACCCTAGTTGAGGGCCTCATCATCCTTGCTAAAGAGCAGTAGCATTCTGAGTGGTTTTTTGGCTACTTGTTTTTGTTGTGCTTTTTTCATCTTTAGCATGTTGGGGGCTGCTTGTTGACTGTCTGCAGTTGCTAGACTTCCAGACTGTGGCTTCTCTAACCTTTTGATAAAAGGTCATAACCTGGTCCATTCCATCTCAGATACTCATTCACCGAGGGATCTAGAAAGACTGTACAACAGAAATAAACAGGTAGCATTATGCCTTTGTAGCCCTGAAGTGACCAGGTAGAGGAGAGAATGTCTGGTGGCAGGCAGGTTACTGGGACTACTGCCAATCTCTCTCCTCCTGACTTGAGGCTCACAGTATTTCTTCTTCCTTGCTTGAAAGCTTCCAGGGAAGTCATTTAGATCTTTTCGGGAATACTGTTGTTTAGGGTATATATTTTATAATGTTTTATAATCTTTAATGTCTGTATCCTTTTCCTTGTTGGTGTTGGACTGTATGATACAGTAATATAATTACATCATGGCAGTTACGTTTTTTCTAAATATCTCCAGATTGGATGGCAGTATGGAGCCGGCCAATGAAATCTTAGAATCTGCATCCCATGACCGTCCATTAGTAGCTCAGACCTACAGTACTGCTGTGACAAGAGGTACTTATGTACCTTCCTCACCTACAAGACACGGTAAGGGGGGAGTAGCGGGAACTTTCCTTATATTAAATACAAATATTTCAAATAACTGTAAATATAACCTGCCTGGTATCTGCTCCTTCAGGTTCTTTTGTAGATTTATTGTCTCACTGAACTCTCACATTTTTATTCTCTTTTCCTTGGGTGGGGTAGGGGTGGAATGGTAATGCTGTCAGATATCACTTAAGTAGACATGTGGGAACTATTACATTTTAGATTTTTCAGGCCCAAATTCCAATTTTTTCTTATCCATACTTTCTTCTTTCCTCTGTTTTGTTTAAAAATTTTATCAAAGTTGTCATGACTCAGGATTCTTTTTTTCAGTGTAATTTGGAGGTATGTAACACCGTAAGAGTTGCCATATCCCTTTAGTATTTCCTTTGCTTCTGTGATACTTGTGGTAAACATTTTATATATGTGTAGTCAGTTGCTTCAGAGCACCAGTCTACATCTTTGAAAGTCTGTATGACAGGAAAATAATTTGTCTGTGGCTCTGCTCTTTTCTTTTGATACGTCAGACAGTGGAAGAGCAATTGGTTAATTATCATCTTTTCCACTAATATACCTACTTAGCAACTGTGAGTAGTCAATTATGACTATACCAAATACTTCCTAATTTTTAACTGTGCTGATAGCATTTAAGTGCATTTCATCTTTTGAGCACTTCATCAATACACGTTTAAAGTTTAGAATTTTGTGTCGGTATTTTAACAGATAGCATGAGATACTCAAGAGTTGCAGATATTTCTCAAACTGTTTCTAAGCTTCGATGACCTTTTTCAAGAGCCTGTTGCTGAAGTTCTTATTTTTCATATCCTCCAAATAATCTGTCACTATTTCTTTGCAGCATACACAGAGGATCTGGGTGCAGTGGGTGGTGCTTGTCTGGAAGATGAAACCAACGCACTACGATTGGATGAAGACAGTGAGCATCCTCCTATGATTCTTCGAACTGACTGAACTTTAACCTGTGAACTCTAACCCCTTGAAGCAGAGAAAACACTGGCTTGATACTTCTTTGAGGACTCTGTGTTAAGCTGCTACGAACTTTGATGTGACTTGGGGAGACAGGATGGCAGAGACATTAAGTTGTAGCCGTAGACTAATTCTATACTATTGAGAAAATATATTGTTTTCACTTCTGTGGCTTTTAATCTTACCTATTTTAGCTTTCTTGGTTGTGTTTTTTTTTCCCATTTATTTGCCAAAATCAGCTGTTTGGTGAACCCTTAGAAACTCCTCGCTTTGCATGCATTCATGTGCCAAGCTAGCATAGGAGAAAGAGAAGCCACTTTATAACAAACTAAAGTTTGTATTTCTTTTTATACATGTATATAATAGTAAGTATATATAAAGAAAGTGTGAAGACATGGTTCTTGATGCTGAGGTTAGTTCTGCACTGACAAAGATCCAGAAAGTTTCTTATGCATGGGCTTGTCAGTGTACTTTAGTGACTGACGTGTGACCTTTTAAGAGACACCCTCTTTCTTTAGTTCCCCACTCCTGGACCATTTTTTTTTTCTAAAAATTTATTTTATTTTTCGTTAATTAAATTCCTCCTGAATGTTGCTCATTTGTGGGACTTTTTCTGTGGTGGACTTTTCTTTTGTTCTTGGTTTTGTTTTGTGGGAGTTGGACAAGGGAGGTCTGTTTCCAGATCGAAAGTCAACTCCTTCCCCTCAGCATGTGAAGTAGAAAAAATACTTGAAAACATCTAGAGAATAAGATGGCGTGTGTAGTTAAATCATCTGTACCTTATTTTAGAATTCAGTATTTTTTTTTTTAATCAGTGTGCTGACTTTAAGGAGAGTGCCTGTTGACTTAGTTTTCCCAGGAAAGCACAAAAAATTTTTAGTTCAATCTGTAGCTAAGCTGCCTTCTTACTGTAACTTTACCCTTTCCATTCTGTAAGGGTTTGATCTTTATAAGAGAAATCTTGAGGCACAACAATATGAGAAAGAAGAAACTGGATATAAAATGCCGACTTAGCTAGGTTGTGTTCTGTGTACCTTTTGTGTCCTAATTTTTTAAAATGTATTTAACAAACTATGAGATTGTGGTTCTAAATGTCACCACTCTGTCAGATTCCCTCTTCCTTTTTTTTTTTTTAAATGGGGGATACAGGCTAAAGCATCCTGAATTACCTCAAAATCTGCATTCCAAAACAAGACACAAACTAGTTTATTTTGTGATAGAAAATAATGGTTCGAAGGATATAAATCTAACTCAGGGCTGGGCTTAAATATGATTAAATAGAAGCAAAAAAATGTTGCTTAAACTAGTTTTTTGGTTTCACTGTTGAGTTTTGAACAGTTGACAGGAATGAAAGAAGGGAGTTTTTCAGATCTGCTCTTTGTGTCTTTCTTGGTCACTGGCTGAATTAAACCATCTGTGAAGGGAAAAAAAGTTAATTTACAGGTGGTAACCAAAGTTACCATCAGTAAAACAGATCTCTAAGGCAAAACCTGGCTGTATGTAATCTCTCTCCATCTGTTCAGAAATCAATTCTACAAGTTGGTAAAGACAAGGAGACAAAAGGTATAGGTCTGATAAGCATCTAAATGAATAAGTGGTAAAAAAAAAAATGAGAATCGCCCATATTTCTCTTTAAACAAAAACTTCTGGTTGTATTCACTGGAGCCTTGCTATAAAGTGATTCCTAGGAACAATGTAGAGTCATTTAGGTATATTTTGGAGTTGAAGTAGTGGAAATGCTAGCAGAATTTTCTTATCTTTGTCATAGTTCTTGTGACATGGCCCCTGGGAACACTTTTGTAGAAAGATTCCACAGTTCATAGCAAAAGTTATCTAATAGCTTTAAGTTTTCTCATTTAGCTCTCTCTACCACTAGGATGTGGCATTGGATTTCATGTCCCCGTTTTGCAGTTCAGAGTAAGAAGTTTACAACCTAGCTTAGTTTTTTGATGAATGAAAAAGGAGCTACTTCCTGTCCTTTGTAGTGAAAGGTCATTGAAATTATTTTGGGAGCATACATACTTATTTATTTATTTGGATAGATTTGAAGGGCTGAATTTGCTTTCATGGCAAGGCAGATAGTTACCAGGGGTAAAAGATATACATTTGTATCCTTCTTTGATATTGGTAGTGCCAAAAGTGTTTTTGGAATATGTGACTGGCAGAGAAGGGGAGTTTAAAATAAGTTAAAGTTACCTTTAGTAGTCTTTGACTTTGAACATAAAGTTTTAGTGTACTTCAGAAATGGGAGGTAAGCATTTCTCATTGAGAGCCTACTTTACTGGTAAACTATACTCGTTAGCCAACATTTTGGCTTTTTCACTGCCCATTAGCACTTCTTCCATTTGGGAATGGAAAAAAAGGAGAGGAAACAAAACTTAATCTGATTTAATATCTATTATTAGATAGGGATCAATAATCCCTTTAGCATGTGGTGTAGGGGTCGTTAGAGTGCCTCTAGTAAGTGCCATACCCACCTACCTCTGTATTAGATGATCTGATACAGCAGAGATGAATGGGACTAAAAATTGGAATATACCTTGGCCCAATTCTACATACCCTACTAATATGCTGAACTCTGAGTAAAAAAATCCCTTTTTTGTTAAACCAAATTTTAATTTTTTTTTCTTCCTAATTTTTTTTAGAGTGAAAGAAAGTCTAGTGAACTAGTTTGAGCCAAGATCAAGCTATTGAATAAAAAACTTTTTTTTTTTTTTTAAAACTACAACTCACTAGATGGTTAATTCAGTTCTAGTCCTTTGGATACAAGGCTTGGTAGAAAACATCTACTAGCCATGATTAGTGTCTTGAATTACCTAGGGATTTCATATACGTGCTATTTTTATTCCTCAGTACCAGAAGTAATGAGCTAACTGCATATAGTCCAGCCCTTGTTTGTGGTAAAGTTGAAGGCCAGTTGATAGCCTGTCTTGGCACTGATTCTTCAGGCATTTATTCTTAAGCCAAACAGACTCTAGGAGTATTTGAGTTAACTTTTTTTTTTTTCCAGAGTGTGAGTCTTTTGGGCTCTACTGTTAGTTTATGACCTCACTAACAATGGAAGCTCATTTGCCATAGTATTGCTGTATTAAGCAAAGACAGACCATTACATCCATTTTGGCTATGAACTGGCCATCTTGTTTCTGTTGTGTCCCAGTTAGAAATACCTAGTGGTTCAAATGGCTTGTGGACCAGGATGATATATTGGAATGCATGTGTTCTGTTTCTGCTCCTCCCTAGGACCCTGAGAATTATATATTAGCCAAATCATTTATTGAACCTCCCCCTTCTTGGGGTAAGGAGATAACTTTACTACCACTCAGGTTGTCCCTACCCCCCTGCCCATCAAGCCTGGTTCCATTTCACCTCCTTGCAGGCTATCCCTGGGGCAAGAAAAAGAGTCAGCAGCTGCCTCGCCAGATTGTGATTTTTGAGTGATTCCAAAAGTGATGGTGGGAACAACTGAGAAACTTCAGATGTTTCCTTTGTACTCTTGACCTTCTTTGTTTCCCCTGCAGCCCCTAAACAGCCTCTTTTCCTTTTCTTCACAGATCATTTCTCCTTCACTTAAACTACGTACAGTGTGTCACACACAACAAATGAGACTTGTAAAGCTGTCACAGAATATTTTAAAATGTTGTAATGTTGACTGTTCTACAAAGGGGCTATTTGTAGATAATTGCATAAGGAAAGTTGAGACCCTACAGATGATAGTGACCAGAACAATCAAACTGAGTTAGAAATTTTTTTTATATTAAATTCCTTTTCTATTTTCTTGACTTTCATAATGGAATTGGCACAAACAAGTTATATGAAGCATGACTTTATAATAGGTATAGATAAGCATCTCTTTTGCATGCTGAATGACTGAGTCACTTAATTGGAAAGAATATTTGATAGTTTCGTGCTTGAGCAACTAAAAATCCAAATATATTTTACAAGTGTACTTAATAATTATCAAAACCAAAAAGGATGCAGCTAGGTGAAAGCTTTTGTCTTTAGTTCCATGGCACCCAGAGTTGAGAGCTAATAGCTTTTTCTTCTTGATATAAGAGGATAGCACACTTGAGCTATTGGTACAATTTTGGTAGAATGCATTATCTAGAACTTTAGTTCTTTGTGTGTGCATAACTTATTTCAGGTTGAAATTACACATTTGGAGGCATTTATTAAGCAGCCAGATTTTTCATGTGTATGTTTTAGTTCTCACCTGACCAGGGTCATAACATAGAAATAACTTTGGTCCATATTGGATCTCTTTTCCCTTCTTTATACTTTGTTCACATTGTCTTAAGATTCTGCAAGTTTCAGGTGGGGTTCCTGAAATTTCTTTGAATAGACATGGCTTCCTTTACCCCCCTTCTTTTTTCATCCTTTATTAATGATGGACTAGGGAAGAATTTGACTTTGGAAAGTCAAATCTTATTAAAGTTTGTAATTTGATAGTTTTTTATTGTCTCACCTCCATATTGGCACTTTTTTTCTTTTTACTGAATTTTAGTTTTTAATTTTTCTTTTCTCGTTTCCTTTTTGGATGAAGCTGAAGCATGTATTGCTAATGTTTGTCTTGTATGTGTGTGTAAACAGTGTAAAAGTATGCTTACAAATTACATTCCACTCATGAACTGTCCAGATCTGATCAAAAGCCATTTGCTGTTAGAATTCTATAACTGCATAAGACATTAAACCTGTGTTGTTATATGTGTTGTCTTTCTTTAATTCATTGCATGTTCACAGGCAAGTAATGCATCTATTTGTACCAGGCATTCATCTTAATTATACTCAGAACATTTCAGTAGTAACAGCATCAGAACTCTGAAGCTAGATTAAAATCATACTAAGAATTCTGTTCACATCAATTATTGCATTGTGTCTGTCTTATTTTTAAGAAAGTAGATCATGTAATTCACTCTACCAGAATTTTTTGCCTATGGCCTAATATGTCAGTACAAAGCTAGTAATTCATTTTTACATCCCTAAGGTCATTTGTTTGACTTTGGGAGGACAAAAGGGAATAAGTATTTATTAGCAGTTATGGGAAATAATCTAAATTAATAACTAGTAATCTAATCTGGATTGTTATAATTGGGGAAGTGAGTATGATGAAGAAAATTACATTGTACTTGGATTTTTTTTTTGTCCAAACCTGTGATTTCATGGGTGAAGGGAATTCCTAGTTAGAAAATTACCTTTACTAGGAGTGCAGATCAGCAATTTTGTAATTTGGTTGCCTGGGACACTGAAATGCTAAGTGATGTTTCCTTACTTTCACAAAACTCAGTATGTATTAGAGATTGGACTTGAACCCAGGTTTTCTTGGCTTAGAATCAGGCTTTGTCCATTAGGTAGTGCCTCTCTTCTTCTAGTACGTAGAATTGACTTCTAATATAATTAGGCCTAGAAATTTATTTAAAAATGTTCATTGTGCACAAAACTATGTTTACTTCATTTGTTAGAGGTTTTCCTATTTAGATTAGAGAAGACCTTGTCTTTTTGCTATGGAAAAGCTTTATTTATTTATTTCAAGTTTTGCCCTGCCAAGTGAAGTGTGCAATGGATTTCATTAGAAGGTGAGCATCTGGGAAAGCGGTTCTAGTCTTAGTTGACTTAGTAGACTTAGTTGATTGTAATTACCTGCATTTTAAGTGGCTTCTCCATTTGATAAAGTTTTTGCAGACTAATCACCTCATTTCTATTAGTTGCTTTCTCTACACATCACCTAAAGTTTCGTGTAGAAAAAATTAAAACAATTGCATAAATGTATTTGTATGCATTAGCTATATTTAACATGCATATATTTCGCTTTTTTTAAAAAACAAAATCATTTGCCTCTTTTGTGTTATATTTTTGTAAACTGCAATAATTTAATGTTACTTTGTACTTAATTACTCTTTAAAAATTGTCCTCCAAGCCTTTGTTTTAAAGAGACCAAGTAGACCAAGTAACTTGTGAGGAGAGAAACTTAAAAAGCAGTATTTCTTACCTATGAGGTCATTCTGGTTTCTTTTAATACCTGTACTTTTGACCTTTTATAATATCTTTAGTTCCTTGTCTTTTCCTGAGCCCCAGGCCTTGAAGAGAGTTCAAGCTGAAATCCATTAAGGGCAGCATAACTGCTGAGGATGGAAATTAGTCCAACTGCACATACTGCGATACTTCTGTAACTGAGCTGTTCTTGCAGGGGATTAAAGAAACTGGTATAACAGGGTGATGTGCATGTTAAACTCCACAGTAACCACCCTTTTTAAAGAACATCCTTGGGATGCCCTACTCAAAGTAAAGCCTAAAGCCTTAAAGAGAATTTTCCAAAAATCTGCCCTTGTCCACACTTACTCTTGTGGTACTTGTAACAATGATGAATAATGATGTTATTAGGCAGAACATCAGTGGCCTGAAATAAGTACAATACTAATGGGTCATGTTTTTTCATTTTCATTAAAAGTTCCGAGTTGCTTATCCTCTAATGACTTTGTAAAATTTATCTGCTGTTTATTGGGGGCGGGTAGGGAGGGTGCTATGTCCTTGCCAATTTGCATGGCTTTATACAGATGAAAATTAATGGGCATTCCAAGCTGTATTTTCTGTAAACATTCCAAGGCTAGCCCCTATGATAGATTATGAATGGGGCAATAAAGTAGCAGATTGTGTTTGGAGTTTACAGGCCTATGTCTTCTTTTTAAAGGCATGTCACAGACATAGGTTGATGCTTGAAGGTATGTAAAAAAGTGATAGGGTATCACATAGGAAAACTGGAGGCTCTGACTTTGAATACTGCTACCTTGCTGCATTGCTTGGGTAGGGTAGTGGGACAGGTTTAAAAGAATATTTGTATAATCTCATGGCATCTCATAATCTGGTTTCCCTAGATTGTGCAACTATCTAATGTTGCTTTCCTTTAGCTTACTGTCTGTGGAAAATAGTCCCGTTCATTTCATTTTCCTTTGGCTTGAGGGAAGTAGAAAGGGAGAAGTAGGTGAAGAGGAAGTTTTTATTTCTTATTTGTCCTGTACTAAGATTCCACCTGATTGCTTTCCATTCCATTCTTTTGTATTTTTAAAAATTACTGTAGTTCTGTAATTTTGGTATAAAGAGGTTTTATTTCAGAAGACTATGTATCACCTCTAAAATAGACTTGATAGAAATATAAACGTAAAATATAAATAAATTTTACTGTGTACTTTTTACCTCAGAACTCTTCCAGACTATGGACAGGCCCTGATCAACTTGATGATTGGATAGCAGACTAATTCAGATGGTTCTTAATTGTCCACATTTTAAAAAAAAAAAGAAAAAAAACACCACTACAAACAGCAGAATTAATGTGGAAAGACTAGCATTGTTTCCAATGAGTTACAAATGGGATAGTGTCTGATCTTTATTAACTGTGAAAAGTAAATTATTCATCTCAGATGTGCAATGGTTTCTACATTGTAAATGTGAATACTTCAAGAGGCAACAGATATCCACACGTCTTAAGAACTGCTGTGTTGAAAAAGAGAAAATCTTAAGATCAGTAGTCACTGTCTCTTCACCACTAGGTGGTAGAAAACTTCCTTTTTTCAAACACCATTTGTACTATTAGCTGACATAGTAAAAACTGCCTGCAAGATGCAGACACAGACAGGCATGGTATTCTGAATAGAATTAAGGCCTTTGAACCTAGGCAACTGAAGTTCCTTAGCTACAAGGACACTACCAATGTCTGTTAAGAGAAATCTTGGTAGAAAATGATAACGTTGAACCACCAAACGAACACTGTTTTGGATAATGTGTCATGCAAAAAAGAAATATTGTCTGCTTTGTATCTGATGGGAATGTAATATACCTTCTATGCATATAGAGCATCACACTCTGGAATACAACTCTTTGCATGAATTTTTAACAGTTCATATTAATTCGTGTACTTTGAGGCATAGCCTGAAAATACATGAACTGTGTCCCTAAACATATCACTTTGTGTGTTTGTGGGGGGGGGGGGTTCGAGGGAATGAGAGAGGAGTGCATGGTATTCATAATAGTTGAGTATTAATTAAATGTACAGTTTTTTGTTTACATGATCTGGTAGCTGTGGAATTGAAGTGCTCATCGTAGCACACTGGTAAAAACAGTGGTTTGGGGGCTTTTATAAGATCTGGATTCCTCGGTCCTATACTTACTGTCTGCTGTGTGACCATCAGCAAGTCACTTAACCTTTCTAAGCCCTCAGTTTCCTCATCTATAAAATTGGGATAATTATTTGCACTCCCTTTCTTATGGGATTGTTGTGAGGAAAGGAAAGTGTCTAAACTTAAAACTCCATGTAAATGTGATTATTATCCAGCACATTTTAGTAGTGTTTTTTCTGATTATGACACCCTCTAAGAGGTAGAGCTGTATTTATTGCCCACCTTTTTAGAAACTTGGACACTATGGTTATTACATGTTTTACAATAAGTCAGGAACAAGGTCATCTTTTGAGTTCCATCCCCTGGCTAACTATCTCTTATGAAAGATAGCACTTGATCTCAGATTTGAGCAGCTGGTATTCCTGACCTCACAAAAGAAAAGAAAATACAAATACTTCTTTCTTTGTGTAGCACTCTGCCATTTTAAGTGTCATTATGGAAGAGAGGAGAAAGAGGCCATTATGCCTTTGTTGGAAGCATTCTGTGTGTGAGAGGAAAGTTTTTATGTCTTGTGCTGGAACATAGGATATAGACAACTATGCTGTGTTCATAAAGCAGGAAATCTCTTCAGGATTTGAGGTGGTGTCATTTAGATAAGTACAATCTTGGAAAGATGTAATCATTCTACTTCCTGAAAACTTGACTTCAGTGTATGTTAAGCTTCAGTCACGAGAGACAGAGGAGGTTAGATCTCTGTAACACATTTCCGTGTTTGAGGCCTTCCTTGTGATTGATTTCTAAGCACAACTGAAATGGGAGCTAGCTAGGCTACCTGGAAAATTCAGGAGCAGGGCTAAAGGGAAACGAGGGTAGGCTAAGGGATAGTGAGCCCAGCTCCTTTGTGTGTTAAACTCTGGTTCAGATATTGTTGGTCTCTCAAGGCCTTGTGTTTCTCAGAAATGCTACTACCTTTTTTAATTTATCAAAATTGCAGAGATTTTACCTGATTACTTAAAAGGTCAAAGGAGATCTAACATCTTTCTGATCTTGATGCATCTTTTGTATTGTCTTTCTATCCAAAACCCTTCCTTCTTTCCCGAGTGTCATGATACAGTGGTAAGTGCTTGGCGCTGAAGTCACAGGCATTGGGTTCAGATCCTGCCTCTGACAGTGCCTCTGTTACCTTGGCCAAATCCTTTAAACTCCCTGGGCTTGAGGTTCCTCTTCTGTAAAATGAGAGTGTTGAACTAGGGATCTCTGAAGTCCCTCCCAGCCCTGGAGCGAGCTATGATCCTATGTCTGAAATAAAAAATATTATTCCCGAGTGCATGCACCAGTGTTCACGTGATGTTCCATGGGTTTCAAGGAACCCCATCAATCTGAAATAAGCTTTGGAAAAACATGTGCAGTAGAAGGAGGGAAATAACCCACTTGATTTCTACCCAAATTGCTTACAACATTTCATCCTTTTCAACAAATCTAAATTCTTGGAGAAGAGCTAAGGTGAGAGAGAGGTAGAAGAGGCCCTTCTAAGAAATAGTATTATTTAAATGTCCTTTCATGTATTCTCCTGGGTAAAAGTCTATTTGCATTTCAATAGTGTAACTTTCTTTTCATTTAAATGTTTTTTTTAAAGTCTCACAAATGGCTCTGAAGTAGGTAGGCCTTACCCTTTTATCATTACCAAGGACCATTGTGGCCATGGAGACTTCAAAACCTCTTTGGGCATGAGCTTGGTGTAGCTTTTACAATGT